GAACCAGATCAAACCTGTACTATTGTAAATCTTTAGATAATTACCCCCTTCATCTGATCCAAGATCTATTCTTTTTTTCCTAATCTCCCTCCCTATCTCCACCAGACTCACAGCAGATCTGGAAATCTGCTACACAAGGTGCTAGTTGAAGTTCTTGAGACTCTTCAAGGATCAAAAGGGCACAATGGATTCTTAGGTATAGAAATCCAGCATGTGGGCTGTATATGGACATTTACACAAAGTTAAAAGAATTTCCAGGGACACTGGGTATAAGTGTTACACAAAGAAGCATATTAGTGCAAGCTGAGTACAGGCAGTCCCCGACTTACGCGGATCCGACTTACGTCGGATCCGCACTTACGAACGGAGCTTTCTCGCCCCGGAAGTCGGGGCGAGAAAGCCCCGTTCGTAAGCTGCTCCGGTGCCCCTGGTCTGCTGGAGACCGTCTCCAGCAGACCAGGGGAGTGCAGAGGAGGGCGGGGGACTGGACCTTTACTGCTGACACCAGCCCTGCTGGTCCACGGCGCTGCTTTGGTTGGGGGGAAGAGGAGAGGCAGGGAGAGGACAGCGCAAGAGAGGGAAGAGTAGAGCAGAGGTGAAGAGGAATGGTCCTGACCCTTCCCTGTGTTGGGGGAGGAGTTGCATGGCTGGTGGTCCCCCAGATGGCCTCTGACCATTCCCCTGTGGTAGAACCGCATGTGAGCACATGACCAGAGCTTCTCTGAGCTGCCATTTCCCCAGCCAGAGGGAGTAGGGGATGACATCAGAATGAAGAACCACTTCCTCTCCCCTGCTAGGCAGAGCCCGTGGGCCCGATGCAGCCTGTAACTTGCATTGATCCAGCCTGTTACGCTTGGGATTCCGGACTCCATAGCAGGACAAGCCAGCTCTGGCTTGCTCTGTTGTGGGAAGAGAGAGCCCAAGCCTCGTGGGCCGGATCAAGACATGCCGCATGCTGGGCCATAGGTCCCCATCCCTTTAACTAGATACAAATTTAATCACTAGCAGAACTTAAAATTATCGATAAGGTGAACTGATTTCGAAAGAACATGGTTTTCAAAGAAGAATAAATAAATTAAAACTAAATAAATATTTAGCTACCAGATTGCAGAAAATATCTCAAAAGTAAGTGACATGTTATTGCATATACAGGCAGTCCCCGACTTACGCGGATCCGACTTACGTCGGATCCGCACTTACGAACGGGGCTTTCTCGCTGCTCCGCCCGAGGCAGAGTTGCTCTGCCCCGGGCTTCCTGGAATCAGCTGCTGATCAGTTTCAGCAGCAGCTGACTTGGGGACGCCTGGGGTTCTTAAGTTGATTCTGTATGTAAGTCAGAACTGGCGGTCAGTTTCAGCAGTGTCTGAATCTGGACGCCAGTTCCGACTTACATACAGATTCAACTTAAGAACAAACCTACAGTCCCTATCTTGTACGTAACCCGGGGACTGCCTGTACTGTAATACCTATTTTCTTTGACTTTACAAAGAGTTCTGTGTTTCTAGAGGCATCAGGGCCAGTGGCAATCTGCATAGACACACTGGAGTACACTTAGGATCTCAGAATAGTTTTGCAAGATCATCATTCCCACATATGCTTCATTTTCTCATCCCCTGAGGTAGCATCCATTGCCAAAGACTAACTCATTCCCAGTCAGCATGCACATTGAAAAGAAAACTGATTTGACTGAAAGAGCTGTTTAAGTCAGCTGACATTCAGCAACTAAAGAAGGAACTATATTTCCTAGGCATTGTTTAATAAGGTGGCTCAATACTTCACAGCCCTGAGAAAGGGTGGAACAATTTCCTTTGTTAGTCATTCAGAAATTCAGTAGAAAGATAGAAGGAGCGGCTTTAACACCACATTGCACAGGCACTGGAGAGAAAGGCGGGAACAATGGCAAAGTTTCAGAAGCAGTGTAAGAAACATGAGACTTTCACTATTTCTGAGCAACATGTTTTGTTACCATGCAGCTCTGAAACTAACCCTTGCATTCTTTAAAAGTAATTGATCTTGCCTAATAAATCACGTGGACACCCTCAAGGAAGGAGCTGCTGGCTGGGAAATAGACTTTGGATACCATGGTCACAAAACACACATGTTAAAAAATTGCTTTGGATCATTCATTTGAAGAGAGCCAGGTAACAATGATCCACAGGATCCTTCTTTACTCAAAGGCTACGTCTAGATTGCACCCCTTTTCCGTAAAAGGGATGCAAATTAGAAGTATAGCAATTGTTAATGAAGTGGGGATTTAAATCTCCCCCGCTTCATTAGCATAAAAATGGCTGCCGCTTTTTTCGGCTCGGAGCTTTGCTGGAAAAAGGCACCAGTCTAGACGTGGATCTTTTGGAAAATAAAGAATTGCCTCAGGGGTCAAACAGCAACAGGCAATTGCTTTCCATATGAAGCAGCCATAGATAAGATTGCCATTGAGGGGCACTTGGTCCATCTTGTCTAGATTAGGGTTACAGACTGCCTCAAACTTCCAAATTCAGAAACGGATGTCCCCAAAGTTTAGAAGAGTGCTAAAGGTCTGTAGAGGTTCTTGGTTTGATGCAGCCTAGGTCTGGGGGTCAGAGGCAGGGAAGTGGTAAGTCAGGGAATGGGATCCTCGAATCATACATTGCAGATCTTTCTTGTCACAAGGTGGGCTTGTCATCCGGTCCCAAATGTTGGGTTTCACCCAGTGGTTGGGTCAGATGATCAAGCATCATAGACCAGGGAATGAGGATTCCTCTAAGATGGAGCCTGCTCCGGCAGAGAGTGGGAGACCAGGTGATAGGAAAAACTTACAGAAGATCCCTCAAGAAAACCTCTGAGTAGGCCTCAGAAGGAGCTTTGAGAAAGCCTGGGCCTGAACCCCTGACACAAAAGCTATGAAGGCGAAAGACATTCAGAGGCTTCTGCAGGGGATCAAGAGGAGAAACAGGCTCTGAAAGAATGGGGCTTCCAGCTCCAATCAGGTGAAAAGGACTGTCTGGAGCAGGGCTGGGCAAGATATCACTTGCAAAGCTGTTTGATCTGGCCCATGGCCCGCCCTGCCGCTCCTCTGCCCCCATCAAGATCTGGGATCAGGGGAGTGCAAGAAGTCATTTGCTGTTCAAAATGGCTGGCAGTTCCCACTAAGCACTGTGTGCCCCAGCAGGATGGGGGCAGTGGGCAAGAGACTTTGCATACTGCCCCATCTCCAGCCCCAATTGGCTTGGGGGTGGAGAAGCACATGTGTAGTCTCCTCCTCCCACCAGGGGTACACGGTGCCTAAAGGGAACCACCCCTTTTCACCTGGGCCCCGCCTCTTCTAGGGGCCCAGCTTGCGACCACATACTAGAATTCATGCAGTGGCCCCCCTGCAAAAATTATTGCCCACCCCTCATCTGGAGCTACCTGCCACAAGGGACCAGAGCAGAAACACGAAGAGGAGGAAAATGTCAGGCAGCAGGACCTGGGATTTGGAAAAAACTTGTGAGCCCAATAAAGGACTGAACAAACAAGGGAGTGGGGGAAGCTTTGTTTGGAGTTGAGATATTTGAACTATGATACTTTAATAAACCAGGCCAAAGAAAGGGTGTTATTTTTCCCACCGCAGAGTCTGGGTGCAGTTGTTGGGAAGCCACAACAGAAGAAAAAGAGGCAGTGGCAGAGACCAACACGGGACTGATAAGACAACGACACCCTTCTCTCTGGCAAAGGAATGCTAGGTGTGGAGTAGCGTCCATGAAGTGGGCTCTGCTCCCATGATACAGCCTGTGGGGTTGGGAGAATGGGATTCCCCCCTACTTTTCTGCGAAGATATGCCAGGGCCCAGCCTGTGGCCTTGATCTTGATCTGAGAAAACACACTATTCCTTTCTGGGATGATGGTAGTATCTGTACTCATGTTGAGTTCTAGCAGCTTATTCCAGGAGTAGTCTTACTGAGTGCAGTGGAATTGCCTCAGAATAAGATACTGCTCACTGTGAGTAAAGGTGACAGGCACTGGGCCCTTACTTAACACATTGACACAGCTATACAGAGAAGATGGGAGCAATATTGTAGTTTAGACAGCTGTATATTCATTATGGCTGCAGTCTCCAGAAGTTCCCACCAATTTTGGGTGCCTTGCTTTGTGGTGCCTCACTGCAGCTCCCGATGGGTCTGGTTTGCAGGAAAGCTGCTGGGCAGCTGTAATTCCAGTTTAAGTCTACCTTTCGAAAACAACAACAACAGACCTTCGCTGTCTGGCTTGATCCTCTTAGAGATCAATGCAGGTAAAGTAAACAAAATACATGACTATGTAGCACTTTAAAGACTAACAGGATGGTTTATTAGGTGATGAGCTTTCATGGGCCAGACCCACTTCCTCAGATCAAATAGTGGAAGAAAATTGGCACAACCATATATACCAAAGGATACAATTAAAAAAATGAACACATATGAAAAGGCCAAATCAAATTTCAGAACAGAAGGAAGATGGGGGGTGGGGGGGAGGTAAATGTCTGTGAGCTAATGATATTTGAGGTGATAATTGGGGAAGCTATCTTTGTAATGGGTAAGATAATTGATGTCTTTGTTTAGACATATATGGTTGTAACAATTTTCTTCCACTATTTGATCTGAGGAAGTGGGTCTGGCCCACGAAAGCTCATCACCTAATAAACCATCTTGTTAGTCTTTAAAGTGCTACATAGTCCCGTATTTTGTTTCAGCTAGACCAGACTAACACGGCTACATTTCTATCACTATCCGTAAAGTAAACAGACGCTTCTGAAAACGTAGTCCTTTATGTGACACATGCATACACTGAGCTGGGCCTTGAGTCAGCCTGCAATCGTCCTCAGGGGGGGAGGGGAAGAGTGCTATCAGTTTTTATACATAATTTCATTGTTTTAAATGTTGAATTCTGACTCTGAACATTCTAGTGGAACCCTGAGGCACATAGGAAGGCCCTGAATTTCCTGCCGTAGTGAGGATATAAAACAAAAACAGTCTCAACGTAACTTGCACAAGAGAGTTACTTACAAGGGCACGTGGGAATGAGGTGAATCGGAGATGGGCTTCCTTGGCTTCCATGTGCACCTACTGGGCAAGTTGGGAGGAAGCCATGTATTGCTGGGTTTTGATTCGTGATTTTCCGCATCAGTGCCATTCTGCAAAAGAGAGTTCTTGAATTTCCTGTTCAGTGTGGACACAAAAGCCATCTTGAGCTGAAAGGAAAAGAGTGGAATAAGAAACTATTATAGTCTATGAGCTTGATTTTCAGCCTTGTGTGTATATGCTGGGGGACCAGTTTGCATGGGGACATTTGAGCAGATATACAATCACCTTAGTGCTATACTGAGTGCCCCAATTTGAGCATCCAAATTTGAAAAAGAGGCCTTCAATTTTTCAGTGTTCTCTAGGAGAATATTTTTCACCATCACATTTAAGGAACTGGAACCTCAGCTGTAATCCATTATGGTACCTCTGGAAATAATCAGTGTTCTTCGTAAGCTAAGTGCTTGGGCAGCCACCCAGGAGAGATTCAAATGCCGTGTAGCTGATTAGCAGAGAGCCCACAGCACTCACAGCTGGCAGAATATGTTTATAGTGGTGGTGCCCATCTGCATTTGCCTTGGTGCACATAACAAAATGTATTCCACACATGGATGGAGAAAAAAAAAAAAAGAGGGAACATGTAAGAGTAAAAAACCCAAACCAAAACATGGATAAAAAATGACTACAGAAAATCCCAGTGACTTTTACCACCCAGAAACCAATCATCCAAGATTTACAATTCCAATTCTATTGCATTATTCCAAGACAATCTGCAAACCAATATTCCAAGTGCTCTAAAGATGATTTCTGTAGCTTCTAAATTAAATTATTTCCCTTTCCTTGTACCTTCTTGCAAAGATCTGGCATTGGCCTTTAGGGCCCACTGCCACTCCCACTGACATCAATGGGAGTTTGGTCATAGATATGAATAGATATTGGGGCAGGTCCATAATATGTGTTACACTGTTTGCAATTCTTGAAACATGAAATTGTATTGCACTTTGATCTTCAAAAAAGTAAAACTGGGCTAGCCTTTCCTTATCACTTTATGATGCACACGTGGGGCCCGCAGAAAGTTCTTCGATGTTTAAAGATTTTTGATTATTATATTCAAAATTCAGGTTTTGTCCAGGCTGGAAGATATGGTAACTGACAAACTTGTGAAATGATGGCAGCAAGGTAAGCAAAAGAGCAGATCAGATTCCATCTCTGACAACAGTTCTGGGTATCTCAGATTGAGCTGATTGATGACCTTAAAGGGACACAGGGATAAAGTTTAGGCTTCAGGAGCCAACTAAGAGATCTTCAAAACAGCAGGATAAGCAATTGTGGCCTATCTACATTTTTTAGGCTTCAGGAGCCAACTGAGAGCACTTCAAAACAGAAGGATAAGCAATTGTGGCCTATCTACATTCAAATATGGCTAAGTCAGGGGCATAAATAAACTTCTGTCTATACTACAAATAATTACAACTGTGTTATAACCCGAACAGGGGACACATCTATTGTAACTGGATTCCATGGTTTGGCTGTATTTGAAGCAGAGAGATATGCAAGGAAGATGAAAGGATGGCCAAAATGTCCATAATACGTACGGGGGATAGAACAGAATTGTAAGACACAAAAAAGAGTGGGCATCAAAATGTCCATACGTACGGGGGAATAGAACAGAATTGTAAGACACAAAAAAGAGTGGGCATTTGGTAACTAAAAGACTCTTTCTGCTAGTGCACCCCAGGAGGCATGGTAATCCAGGCAAATTCTTTTCAGTCAGTTTTACATGAACAGACTTTGCAATGCTTTCTCAGGTCACAGACATGCCTCTTAGCTCATTTATGAGGTTTGACTCTCCCAGCACACATAATTGTGGCCGTATCTTATTGCACTATAGTGGTGCTATATTTTGTAATTACTGCAAATAGAAATACCATCACTTGTCTTGAGGGTTGGCAAACCCTCAAGGACAATATCTTGTACTTCCTATAATTCCTCGTCTGTTTGAGTCCAAAGGTTCAATTCTGAAATCTCTTAAAGGGCCAAATCAAAGTCCCAGTGAAGTTAATGACAAAGCATTATTTGATTTTAATGGGACCCAGGTTTGGTCAAAAAGAGCTGGAATCAAAGTATGATCAAGATCCAAATTTTAGAAATGGCCCATCTGTTTATAATATGCCAGATTAAAGCATTTGATCCAAGTATCCCTGAATTTCAGTGGAGTTCACACTCCAAATCTGGATCCAGATGAAAAGCTTGCTAATGGTCTCTGTCTTTATTATAGGCTTAACCAAAACCCCAGATCTAAACATTTGCTGCAATGGGGATGTTCAAAATACAGATCCATAAGCAAGTTTTGCAGCTTCGGCCAATTTTAATTGAAAAGGGCACTGTTACCAATTGTGAATGGCCCAAAACTCGACCCACTTATATACACTAATTCTCCCTGTGCTTTTATTTTCAGGTGTAGTTACTGCTACCAGTTTAGATTTACAGACTTGTACCAAATACAGCAGCCATGATTTTATAGGGATTGACACAGATTTGCAGCCCATGAGCTGTGCTTTGAAATTCAGGTGCAAAACCCACCAGAGATATTCAGAGTAAAACTAATTCAAAAATATCACCACACTTCACGTGTTTTTGTCATTAAACTGTCAAGCAAGGCTTAATTGAAACTGCTAATTTCCTTGAAAGACTTGTGAACCTCAACCAACTTGGGCTGAGGTGGGTGTTTGCAACAAAGCCAAGTTTAACCTAGCTGGAGTAACACCAACAAAGCAGTGCGTGGATAAACAAACATCTTGGTGTGGAAACAGGTGACCGGAGTTTATCGTAGGTACTTATATGGCCTCCAGTACAATAGTGTCTGAGTACTTCATAGTTTAACATATTCATCCTCACAACAGCCCTGGATGGTAGAGAAATGCTATGAACGGGAGACTGAAGAACAGACAAACTAAGGTCCAGATCCACAGAAGTATTTAGGCTCCTAACTCTCACTGACATCACTGGAAATTAAAAGCCTGAATACCTGTGTGGATCTAGGCCGAAGTCATTTCTCAGTCTAAGGTTTCACAGGGAGCCTGTAGCAGAGTAGCAAATTGGACCCCTGTCTCCCACATCTACCTGAACTAGTATCCAACAGGAAGAGAGGATACTGGCTCTGTAAAGTCACTGAGGCTCAGGCAGGCCCGACGATAGGGAGGAGGACGGGGGAAAAAGGAGCATTGCACTAATGTGGCCAGCAGCCCCGGGCCCTTTAAATTGCTCCAGAGCCTTGCGCTGGTTCAGAGCCCAAGTGGTTCAGAGGCCGGGCAGGAGGGGTGCCATGTGGTCCAAGCAAGCTGGCTGCTGCCTCAGCCTTGTTCCTTCCACCAGAAGTCCCACCCCTTCTGGGAACGTGGAGCTGCCCCCCCACATTGCCCAGGGGGCTGACAATCCTGTCAGCCCCATGGGGCTCAGGAAAAAAAAATCTCCTGAGTGGCCAAGTCTGAGGAGAAGAAAGAGAAATAGCTCATTAGCCAACGTTGCTGAACATTCCTAATGCAGTTTGTTTTGCACAGGCTGAGGTGTGACCAGATGGCAGACTCCACGTGCTAATTCATCTCCTTCTTCCCAAAGCACACCGAAGGGGAAAAGTTGTATTTAAAGCAGTAGCATGGAAGGGATAGGGGTGTGGCCTGAAAACCACGTGGCGCCCAAAGGTCTGTGGGAAATCCCAGTCTTGGTAATATTGCTAGTCGCTCAGCACAATTTTTCATTCTCCCTTCTCCCCAGCAGCATGGTTGGACTTTGGCCTGCTGCGCTTTTGCCAGAGCGTCTCCTTCATCGAGGGCAATGCATGTTGCAGAGCGGGAGTTCATGCTGAAACCAGCATTTGACACATGAGTTACAAAGGGTCACTGATATGTTGAGCGTCATCCTTGCACTAATCTATGGAACCGCTCCCCCTTCAGAGAACCCCACTTTTACCGTCATGCCTACAGAATACTGCCAATTGACAGCGACTGGGCAAGTGGCCAGGTGAGACAACTCTACTCACGTTTTATTGATCTAAAAATAAATCATGACATCATACCTACAGAGCATCCCAATTGCTAGTCTGTGTGTTATGTTATCCCCATCTTCTTGTTAGGCCCACTTGCTGTGGCTGGTCTTAAATTTAAGATCCTGTGCGTGTTTGTGAGGAGAGAGAGGGGGCTGCCGACAGGGGTGGAGGGGCAGCTGCCTCAGGGCCCAACGATTTAAAAAGGTCTGGGGCTCCAGGCCATGACCACTGTGTCAGCAGCAGCAGCTGAACCCCCAGGCACTTTAAAATGCCACCAGTCCTACATGGTACAGTGCAGGCAGCGCTGAGGGTTAGCTGGGGGAAGTGCAGTGTGTTCCAGGTGGCACTGAGGGCAGGCTACCGAGTCCCACCCCATGGGGAAGGGGTCTGAAGCCAGCATCTCCCCACAATGCCCAGGTCCCAGCAACTTCTGTTGCCAGACCAGGTGTGTGAGTGTGCTCACGCACGTACACACAGAGTACAATGGGCTTCAAATTAGTTTGCAGCCTTTAGGTGCCACAACTTCTAATAGCTTATAATATATTTAGGAAGGACTGAGTGGGCAAAAGGGGGGAGAGGGGGATGATGCTGCCAGTACTAAAACAGCCTTGAACTTTATAGATGACAATTTTCCAACTCAAAAAGCATAGCAGCGAGTGTATGAGAATTCTTTATTAGACTTCCTAACAGATAGAGAGGGAATGACCACGGAACTAGAAGCTAATGGGAGGTTAGGTACAAATGATCATGACTTGATGGCAGATATTAAATATAAGTGCAGAAAAGTCCAGACTAGTAATATATATACTTGCTGCTTTAATAGAACCAAGTTTAAAAAGTGTGAATGATAATTGGGAATAATTTAAGAACACGTTACTAACTGCCTGAAAAGCCACAATCGCACAATTGAGGAAGAAGGCTGTGTTCATTAAAGAACAAAACTGGTGGAGAGGGGAAATAAAGGTAGCAGTATTTTATTTATTATATTATATATTTATTTAATAAATAAATATATATTTATTACTGCTGCCTTCATTTCCCCTCTCCACCAGTTTTGGTTTTGTGTGTGTGTGTGTGTGTATCTTAAACATACACACATGCAAATGGAAGAAAGGGGAAGAAAAGTAGTGAACATAAAATCAGAAGAAGTGAGGAACTGTAGAAAATTGACAAATAAAGCTAAGGGACACAAGAAGAAATATATGGTCAGCAGTGTTAAGGACAATAATTAAAAACAAAAAAGGAGCAAAAGGAATTTTAATCTAGAAAGGAACTAATATTATTGTTATATGACAGAATTATCAATAATGAAGAAAATACAGACATGTTCAATAAATATTAGTGTTCTGCATTGCGGGGGGATGAACAGATGATACAATTTCATCATAAGGTAATGATAATACTCTTTTCATGCCACTAGTATCTTTGTGGCTATGAAAGTCAGACTTTTTAAAATTAACATGTCCTGATAACTTGCATCTAAGAGTTTTAAAACAACGGACTGAGGTGTCCATGGGACCATTGGTGTTGATTTTCAATAAGTCTCAGGTCACTTGGGAAGCTGTAGAAGACTGGTAGAAAGCTAAGGATGTGCCATTTTTTTTAAAAAAGCTAATAGATTGACCCAGGTAATTATTGGCCAGTCAGCCTAACATTAGTCCTAGGAAAGATAATGGAACAATTAATATGGTAGTTCATTAATGAAGAATTAAAGGAGGGTAGCTAAATAATGCAAATCAACAAGATTTATGGAAAATAAAGGCTGTCACACTAACATATATATTTAATGAGATTGCTAGTTTGGATGTTAAATGCTATAATGACTAACTCCTAGATCTCTAAATGTAATTGTAAATAGGGAATTGTCACTGTGACAGTACAATCTGGATTGTGTAATCCTATAAATTTACATATAATGCTGTCACACATTTTATAAGGACAATAATGTTCAGCAGATTATGAGTTTCCAAATGATAATTGGTACAAACTATGATAGCCTTGTAAAAAAGGATAAACATAGGGTATGTTTCGGTATGTGTTTTTCCTTTGGAACACTGCAGAGATCTTGACCCTATACTATTTAATATATAGCCTTGGAAAAAAGGATGAACATAGGGTATGTTTCGGTGAGTGTTTTTCCTTTGGAACACTGAAGAGATCTTGACCCTATACTATTTAATATCTCTATCAATAACCTGAAAGAAAATGTACAATCAATGAAAATGTTTGCAGATGACACAAAAGTGGTAAATAATAAAAAGGACAAATCACTGATTCAGAATGACCTACATTTGCTTGGTAAACTGAGAACAAGTAAATAATATGCATTTTAATATGACTACACATAAAGACGTACATCAGGGAACAAAGAATGCAAACCATATTGACAGAGTAGGGAGCTCTATTCTGGGAAGCAGTGCTCTGGAAAAAATGGGATGGGGGTAGATAATCAGCTGAAAATGAGTTCTCTTTGTGATGCTGTGGCCAAAAGAGCTAATGCCGTCTTGGGATACAGAAATGGAAATTTTGACTAGGAGTAGAGAGGTTATTTAAACTGTGTATTTGGCACTGGAACACAGGGTCCAATTCTAGTGTCCACAATTCAGTAAGGATACTGATAAATTGGAAAAGGTTTTAAGTTGCATGAGAATGATTAAAGGATTAAAAAATATGCCTCATGGTGACTGTTAAGCTAAAGAGATTCAAGGAATTCAAAGAGAAGGTTCAGGAGTGACTTGATTACTGTCTGAAAGTATACGTATATACACAAGGAACAAATAATTTATAATAGGCGCTTCAGTTTAGAAGAAAAAGATATAATGGGATCCAAAGGTGAAGCTAGAGAAATTCAGGTTGGAAAGAAGGCTTTAAAAAAAACAAAAAAACAAAAAAAAAGCCGCAGCACTGAGAGTAATCAATGGAACAATTTACCAAGGTTTGTGGTGGATTGATTTTCTATCATTGGCAATTTAAAATCTAGGCTGTTTTTTTCCTAACAGCTCTGCTTTAGGAATTATTTCGGGGAAGTTCTGTGGTCTGTGCTACACAGGAGGTCAGAATGGATGACCACAATGATCCCTTCTAGTTTTAGAATCTGTTAATCTAATACAACCCTCCTACCTCCAATTTAGCTATACAGAAACATTCAAACATTATGAAGGGAGATTAATTTTAAAGGCACATTATTTTCAATCCAATGATCTTGGGGTTCTTTTAGTTTGTCTTCTGGTCTTTGAGATTTGATTTTCAGGTTTTTCTTCCCACCTTAGAGGGCTAAATACAGCCCTAAAAGAAGAAGAAAGAGTCATGTCGTCTGTCTCCAGATGCTGGGACTTTAAGGACTAATAATAAGACTCACATAGGTTGGCAATGTTACTTGTGCTTTTGTTTTCCATGGAAGAACATGCCTTGATCCTTTAGACTGCAATGATGCCTCACTCTGATCAGCATTTTACAGACCAGCAGCATTGGCAAGAAATGGGTAACTGGTTATGACTAAGGCCATGTGAAGCAGTCTGGCTAAAAGGAGGACGGTCTGATCTCCTTCCCAACACTTGCACCCAACCTGCAATTAATTTGCAGGTTTTTTAAAAAGTTTGAAAAATGCTAGAGTTCTTACAATTGGAGTGTGCCAGCCTTGGGAGCATCTCTCTGAGTAAATCCTTAATTGCCCCGTGATTTATGGGACAAGGAGCACAAGCCACTTGTGTATACAGAAGAGAGAAATTAAAGTACAGTAAACTTCCGATAATCCAGCACCTTTAGGACCCAAGGGGTGCCGGAATATCAAATATGACAGACTAGAGGGGTCTGAGGTGGGGTGGCAGGGATGCCACCCCAGACATCTCATAGCCCCCCCTTCCGATAATCCGGCTCTGCCCCAGGAGTCCCCGATTCAGCTGCTGTTGGTCAGTTTCAGCCTGGGACAGAGCAGCTGGGGTGCTGCCGGGTTGGTCTTGGGGACGCCCGGGACAGAGCATCTGGGGTGCTGCCGAGTTGGTCTTGGGGTCACCTGGGGAAGAGCAGCTCGAGTGCTGCTGGGTTGGTCCCGCAGTGCCAAGAGAGAGGAGTGTATGAGAGGCTTTAACACAAAAAGTCACACCTTGCATTCTTATTATTATTAGTCAGCACAGCCAGACCTCAAGCCCATTATGCTAGGTGTTGAACAAATCCAATAAAAAGACAATCACTAACTCAAAGAGCTGAAACAAATAATCACTTACTGATGGGCATTATCTACAACTTAAAAATTAGATCAACCTAGCTTCATCATTCAGGATTGTGAAAAATGTTGTGCCTGAGTGCCATGTACCATCTACCCTTAGAATAGATTCACCTAGGTCAATGGAAGAATTCTGCCAACCTAGCCTCAGAGAGATGGATTAACTACACTGATGGAAAAACTCCTTCCATAGACATAGGAAGTATTGATACTATGGTGCTACAGTGGCACAGCTGCCGTGTGGCAGTTGTTGACATGTTCCGGTGTGAACTACACTAGTCATATTTTACAGACCTGGTATATTAAAAAAATATATACTGTTGTGGAGAAAGAAAAATAGGTTGTGCTGATTCTACAAGTGCATCAAATGCAGCTCAGTTTCAGGTCAGTTTCAGCAGCAGCTGAATCGGGGAAGCCGGGCGCAGAGCAGCTCCAATTGTCCGGCTGACCCGAGCACTTCTGGGTTCCCAATGGTGCCGGACCATCAGAAGTGCCGGAGCATTGGAGTTTTACTGTAGTATGATTAACACACTTTCCACCAAGCAGCTCTCATAAAAAGGGCCACTGGACACAAGTTTGGCACTAGGAAGGGGGTATATCTTTCATCACTTAAAATTTTGGGAGAGACTGTTTGATTTCTTATTCCTAACCTTATCATTCTTGACTGCAGCTCTTTGTGCCATTGATCCTCTATCTCCTTTAATAACTGTACTAGTACTAACTCTAGTACAATTAACTGGATATTATTGCTAAAGCAGTCAGTACTGCACTAATATGTTATTGTTATGATTAGGGTTCATAAGTACGGGAGTTCACATTTCTGTTAGAGATATTGTCTCAGGCTGTTTGAGTCTACAGACTTGGTATTGGTTACACTTGAGTCCTATTTTTGAAGGCTGTCTTCACAGTCTTAAAGATTATCAACTTATTTTGTTTTAAAAGTAAACAAATATGGAACACCATTATGCAGAACTTTAAACATAATCTGAAATCAATGTTACTTACTGGTCAAATAAATCACTATATACTGCCTTCGGCATTAACTAATCATTTAAAGAGATGGCTAAGAAACTTTTCCCCAACTCACCTCCTGCCTGTGTCAAAAGCTCTCCTGTTCTCTGTTCAAATAGTGAAAAATCTAGTTCTGCCTCTCCCTGATCTCCTCTGTGACAAAGTTACTTATTTTCAATATAAAAAAAAAAAGACAGCAGCACATTGAAAATGGAAGCATGTGTGCGAGCACAGAATATATTGAATTTAATATCTAAATTAATAACACGACATATTGGACAGAGGGGCAGTGGAGCACATATAATTGTGGTGCTGCAGCTATATAATTTGTCTAGCATGCTGCGTAGGACACATCACCTTGGTTGATATATATGAAATGCTTTGCAGATTTTAGTTTATGGTTATTTAATCACATTGCACTGGTAACTCTCCAAATGGAAACAAAATATTCCCGCTCTGTGAAGAGATCATCATAAATTAGACTGAATGAAGAGATAAAGAAGGGTTTGACACAGCAGAAAAATGTTCAAGTTAATTTGCCCAGTCAATCTTTTCCACCACTCAAGGAAAAATCAAATCTTTTGTGCAATTAAAAAGTGAGTTAGTAGAAAATGTTTCTCTTAAAAATCTCTCCAAATAGAAGACTAGTTTTCCAATAAGTATCAGAATATCCAGAACTTGTTAATACAGATTCTCAATGAGCCCTAATCAAACCTTTAACTATGGGTCCCAAATCACAGGCTACAGTTATCTGATTAATAAAAGCTGCATATACATGGTTATGCTATTATAAAGAAGTACTTACAGTATTAGATAAGATACACTTGCCTGGCCGCAAGGTAGTTACTGAGTGACTTCCCTAATGCTTTAGCTCACCTGTTTATATCTGCAGCAATGAGAGAGGAAGCCAATCAGCTGAGTTACAACACTTTATGAATGATAGTGATTGGGTGATCTCATCGCATGTCTAGTATGTGATTCCTCTCAAAATCTTAATGGTTGGGATACAAATAGGATGAGCAGCTTTAGTTTTAAAGATTCACCAAGCACATGTACGTTAAGGCCTCAGTTCAGCCAAGCTCTTAAGCACATGCTTAAATCCATCCCAATTCAACTAAGTACTTTAAAATGTGCTTCATTTTAAAGATCAGCATGTGCTTAAGAGCTTTGCTGAATCAGAAACTAAAAGCCATACCAGAAGCAAGAGAAACACTTTGATGTACCCCACTGTATGAATATCTTTCATGCCTTTGGGTACCCTACGATCAAACACTTTGTGAGCCTAATTCTGTTATTCTTACATCACGTAAAGTAGCCCTGACTCCCACGAGGGTAACAGGATCAGAACCGTAGGTACAAAGCAAAGGTGAAGCAGGCACAATATTATGGAAGAATAGTACCAGTGTCATGCTACTAGGTACCTAGCATATCAGATACACTTTAAGGTTGATGGGCTGGTGCTGTAGAAGATTAGTTATGGATTTTGCTTTCCAGATTCCTGATGCTAGCAGCTTTATCAGGGTTTAGCACCTAAGGATCCTTTGCACCCCTTGCTAAAGGACTCCCTAAGGGTTCCCAAGCTATTGCATACTGGCTGAGATAAACAACTATTAAAAAGCAGGTGTGTGGGAAACTTTGCTGTCGTCCATGAACACAGGTTATAAAAAGCAGCAATGCCTATTTGTTTTGGACCCAAAGCTTTCCTAAGCAATAAACATAACAGACAGAGGTCCCAGCACAGGAATGACTTTATCTTTGGCCTTTTTGTGATATGTGAAATCTCTAGAAAACATTACCAGAGATAATCCATAGTGGAACAATCCTGTGAGTTATCTGATGTGACCCAGTCTTCCAGGTCACACATAAAGGTGCCCCAAATAATGTTAGTCCCAGTAAGAATGATGTTCTGTGTACATTCCAGTTAAAGAATAACCCCAGGGGTCCATTCTGGCCTTGATATCTCGCTTTCCAAACACACCTTGGACCAATATATAGTTAAATCTAGTCTAGGTATGGGACTGACTATGCACTGAACATCAACTGTGTGTTTGAGCAGCATGGATCTGCAGCCTCCTGACATAGCTAGATGTGGTCTGCACTCTCTTTACTGGAGACACGGAAATTTTGTATTGGTTTGATGCTACCTTGCCAATGTGTGTGTTCAGATGATGGGGCACATTAGCCCACAGACCTTGTGGGGAACAGAGTTTAGCTCTGACAGTCCATCAGACCTTCGTTCCATGCGAACAACTCCCATTAATTTCACTGTGAGTGTATAACAATAAAAATAAAGTGGTACTGGTTATGTAATTCTTACCCTCCTACTGTGCAATATTCAAGTTCCATTTTCAAATGTTAATAAGAGTGGGGAGAAAACAGATCATAAAATTAAATGGAAGCTGTTTATTAGATTTAAATTTTGCATGACTGTGCCCTTCTGAGGTGGGGTACGTTCATATTTTGCATTTACTCTGAAGTCTTTCAGAATAAAAGCTATATGTGCTTCCCCCATTGAAATCAGTCGTCTTGGGCAGGAAAGTTCCAGGAAAGCAGACACCCAAACTAGAACACGTTGCAGGACTGTAAGGGAGAGAAGAGAGTATGGTTTGGACAGACACGTGGGGAAATTCCTTGCTTTCACAGAAGACATCACAGTGCTGAATTACTTACCCTCCAAAAGAATGAAGCATTGATCTGGCGCCACTACAGTTTGTGCCTGTGGGTGTCCAACAGGGATGTAATATCCTGTTTAGTTAGTTAACCAGTTAAACTGATTAAACAGAGGTGAGTGGGGGGAGGAGGGTTGGAGTGGCTCCCTCCCCCCCAAGGCTGTGCTGCTCTGGCTGGACCGGGCCCACCACAGATGAGGGCTGCTCCAACCAGGCTAGAGTGCCTTCCCTCGCCAGCAGTGGGCCTCGCAAGCGTGGAACAGCCCCTTACCCATGGTGGGTGGGAAGTGCTCCAGCCCCCACAGGTTAACCATAGCTGATAAGCCTCACCTGCTAAGGGGTAACCATTAATCGGTTAACCATTCACATCCCTAGAACTGCTTAGGAATTGTGTGACCCAAAGCCAGTCTCTCAGCTTGGTTCTCTCTCTGAAGGGAATTGGGGATGGATAAGGTTAATCAGTTACCTGGTAAGCACTGTCCAGTGGTGCGGGCTGCATCGGGCTGACTGGCTGGACCGTAGCTGTATTGGGGTGGCAGGCAGGGCTGGATCTCTGTCGGCCTGGTGACACCCCAGCCTTGGCCATGCCAGAGCAGCCCAGACAGGTAGGTGGAACTCTGGCCTTGGGTGTGTCAGGCTGATTGGCCTGCCAACAGTTACCTGGTTAAATGAGATAGGTGTACTAGTTAACTATTTTAATGGATATTTACATCCCTAATGGGAATGCATAATTCTCCTTAGGAAGAGTGCATGCAGCACAAAGGTGATTTCTAGGGGAAGACTGGAGGCACATCAGTTCAGTGTTTTTTAACCTGACTCATTCCATTGTGGATTGAGAAATCCACATACTTTTTTAAAAGCCACAGGAAACACTGAAGGAAAATGTAACGGAAGCTGTAGTGTGACACTTGGTACGAGAGCAGCCTTCCACAAGGTGGAGGGAAATCTACCCCCACACACCAGTAGGAAGGAATTTCTGTGGGAATGGGGTGAGAGCCGTGGGAGGGGCTGGTGGTCCCACCCCCCAGAGTCCAGCCTCGCCCCTGGCTTTGTTCCTGGGGATGGGGGTGGGGAGAATCAGCCCCAGCATTCTCTTGGCTGTCTGGAGTGTGGGGGTGGGGGGGCTGGGGCAATGTGCCGCCCCATCCTCACACTTACTTGGAGGACAATGGAGGGGGGTGCATTTGCACTCCACCCCTTTCCCCCCACATATGAGCATGCCACGTGTGAAGAAAAACCATCTAGCAAAATGGCAGTTCTGAACATTTTTGACCAAGTTTTAAAGGGTGTCTTTGAATAAAGTTGTTTTGCTGTTAGACCCTAAAAACAAATTCTCTACGGGTTGGCATGATCCCATTGAAATCAATGCAATCATGCTAGCCAGTAGAGGACTTGATCCTTTCACATTGTATGAATTACGGCTGCTTAAAGTTGAAAAACAAATACGGGCAGTTGGCTGTATGAGTGATCTGTAGGCATATTATACAATCCTTATTTGAACATAAAGCTTCACTACATGGCTAAACTTGAAAAATAACATCCGTGAAAAACTCTTTTTTCCTCATAAAATAAAAAATCTTTTAAAGTCTTTTTTAAAAAAGTGAAATGATCTTTTCACTAGGGGTCAGATTCCAATACCTCCGCTCATGCTGAGTAGCTCTCATTTCACATGTAGTCTCATTGAAGTCAGTGGGATTACTTACAAACTAAGCCACTGCTCAATGGGAGCGTGGGTATCAAAGTTTAGTCCTAAGCTTACAGACAAATACAATGAGTACAACAACTGAATACAACAATCATGTTTTAGGAAATTCAAGACTTCTCTTAGTTACCATAGTGAGTCTCAGTAGCTCCCATAGCTTTTCAAAATACTTTAGAATTGGTTTGGATCACCTGCTCATTAATTTTCAGCTGTTTGTTCATTGCTGCTGCCCTCAGAAATGCCCCCAGAGTTTGGCTGAGAAAAGCAGAATGTCTCAGTATGCTCAAGGAGTGGCACTTCAAAGGGGCTTTGCAATGTGGAGCTGGGGATCAACTGGCGTCCCCAGCTGATCCCAGGCTCCTAATGTGTTGCCCTTGGAGACTCCACTGCGGTGCTTCATGGAGCCCGGGGTCAGCTGGGGAGTCCAGCTGATCCCAGGCTCCATGCAGCACTGCCCCGTTGAAACATCGCCACAGCATTTCAAAGGAGAGGTGTGCACAATCAATTGTGATTAAATTTAATTGCTTGGCAGCCCTAAAAAAAAAAAAAAGGTTGAGAAACACTGCTCTAGCCAGCAGGTGATTAAGCACACGCACATATACAAGTTGCCCTCAGCCGTCTGTTGTGTGAGATCTGATCAGTGGGTGAGGTCTGAGCACAGCCACCAGATCAGGCCATGACAACAAGACAGGTGGGGGGAACCTAAGGGCATAGGGGTGATGTAGGGCACCTTGCCGCTTGGCAGCATCTGGCCTCAGGTGGTTTGGTACAAGCACTCCTGCATGAGCAAAGGTGCTCTGTGGCATTACTGGCAGAGATCTAGGCAACTAGGGAAGTTCGGCATTTAAAAGTTTCGGTGGTAACTGAGGAGGGTTTGTGAAGATCTTAGTGATACCTAAAGGCTGAAGTTTGGCAGCACCCAAGTCCCTTTGTGGCTCTAGCTCTTGGTGTTTCCTGTATTTGAGTAATTAGCTTGGCAGTCTCTGCATTGCTGAATCTAAACAATTCTATTTTACCGTCATATTGTTTATTCACCAGAGGTAAGTGCCACTGCCTTCAGTAATGACGGCCTATAAAACAAGGCCTCACTTGCACCCATGCAATAGTATTTACAGCTAAGACACTTACACACGTTTAAGTGGTGGTGGAAAGGTCACTTACCTCAGGTGACTCTGAGATGTTTTGGGTAGGTGGAGCATGGTCATGTGCGCCTGTCCTGGCAAGATCAGGGTCTCTAAGCACTGGGCTGCCACCCATGCCCTCGTGTCCTCCAAACTGAGGGCACATAGGGCTGAGCAGCACTGATGGCCTCATTTTCCTTGCTAATTCTAGCATTGCCAAACCCATGAGCTCCAAAATCACGAGTCAGGCCCCTCCCCCCCAAAAAAAGAGTTGTTTTAAAAAGACAATGTTGTGGATTGGTTTGAGCCTGTCTTGAGTTTTGAGCTCCCCCCACCCACCCCCATTGCATCTATGTGGCAAGT